ATATTCATACACACACCATACCTACATATACATAAATTAATTACATATATATAAACTAATTTTGGTGTGGGAAATAACAGTCCAAGCAGTAGTGTTACCTCCACCAATCCTCTGGGAATTCGGGGCAGCGCAACATACAACACAAAAACTAAATACATCACGACTATACACTCAGTCACACTGGTCTCCGGTAATCCCAAAACTGCCATCGCCGCGTTCAGTAGAGCAGGCAGCCCAAAACCCAACACAACTGTGAGAAGAACAGAAAACGAGACCAGATATGCCGTTCGGAGAACTGAATGTGAGGCCATCTTGGTGGAATGGTGTTGACTTTCCTTGCGAATCTATCACCCACCGCGGGGTCACGGCACGCCCCCTCACGTCTCAACGCCGCAAATAAGCCAAAACAAAAGAACATTAACTAGCAGTGTCAAGACCACGTTGAGGCTGTGCAGAATACGGGGCTTTGTCTTAGTTATTGTTTTTAAATATGTGCTCTTGTAGCAGACGAATGTGAAATGTGAACGTTCTCAAAACATTACAGTGCATATTATTTGGGGGGTTGACGCCAACTTTTATTCTCGAGATGTCCACGTGGTGCATTCATTTCACTAAAGTCCTTTGCTTCATATCATATTATCCAATATTTCTGCAGGGACCTGAATGGTTTCATTGGTCAGGAGCTTTTATTTTGAAGGCCACTGCCCCATTATGTTGTTTCCTGTTTTTCGCGGTCCTCCTCAGTTACTGAGGAAAGCTGAGGTGTATACTCTGCTCTTGTGGTCTTAAGTGTCTTATTTCCATTAAAACACGCACTTTACTGTTCAAACTGTTATGGTACAGAGTTGTAAGCCACTGTTCTCTATTGTATTGTTGCTAACTGTGTGGAAATCGTTCCCTGTGTGAAGTACACCACTTTATTAACATGCTAACTAGTGCTAGTTACAATGTTTACCTGGGCTGAAGCGCATTGAAGGTCTCACATGGAGTCTATTGTCTTTTTCCGCCCTTCAGATGTGTAACGGAGAGACCTGTTTCCTAGTGGATGTACTGATTTATTTGTGTTTCACACAGAATAAACTCCTCTCCTGTGGATGGCAAATCCCTGTGTGCAATTCATCATTAAAGACACAACGCAAAAATTAGACTTGACAGCCGCGTAGAAACAAGACCGGCAACACTCTTCTATTCACAAGTCTCTGTAAACACAAGCCAGAGGTAACGAATATGGAATGCGAAACAGGAAGTGGCCTGGAGTGAACTCTCCTAACACATATTTTAATCAACGACCTCTGAATATGTCTGTGATTTTGGGAATACTCATAGCTGTAGAAACACCACAATTTGGACAGTAAATATTGTAAAATAAAGATTTAAGTTTTTGATTTTTTTAAATAAAATTTAAATTCTAAAAACATGCTTTTCTTTGTCATTGTTAGAGTATAGTATCATGGGCAAAAATATTGTGACGACCGCTAGCTAGGTTGAGAGGAGCTGGCCGAGCCTGTCCTACACCGAGACAGCTAACTAGCCAGCTGTGTGCCGGCACCTGGCTCAACAAGGAGGAGAACACCTGGTTTGTCTTTTCTCGGGTTTTATTAAACGGATTAAAGAAAACAACTGAAAATGCTGCATAACATGTCACCATGTACTCACAGAAAATGAACAACAAAAAGGCAGCAACAACACAACTCCCTCGAAACTCTACCATGTCCCGCGCCAACAGAACCTAAACAAAACACCCACCTGCCATCCCTTTTATCTCCTCCCGCACCTGTTCCTCCCCCCATCCCACATTGGCCAGAACAGAACACACGAACATTTGCGACCGGTCAGGGTCGCCACAATATGTAATCAATTTTATATTACATGTGCAACAAGTGAAATAGTCTGAATAATTTGAGTCCACAGCGTGGCTAACTCATTACAACCCAGAACTTAAAGCAGTGTTTCCCAGATTCTACAGATTCATCAATTTTCCAAGCAGGGACAATAAAATCCTGGGTCCTGGATCAGGTTTATTGCAACATCCCGGGAGCATACAAGGTCATAGCAGCTCCACACCTGGGCATGTCAGATCACATCTCTGTGGAACTGATCCCAGCATATAAACCTCTGATCTGCAGGACAAAACCAATCACCAAAACAGTTAAGGTGTGGATGGAGGAGGCTTCTTCAGCATTACAGGACTGTTTTGAGCATA